TGTTTAAGAACACCACAATTGCACGGACGTAACAACGTAATCTACCCTCCATTCAAGCCTTCACAGCTCCCAACGGAACGAAAATAAATTTCGTCGACGAGAAAAGAGGCTAGTTCCCCGAAAGTTAAATTCTCCTCTTAATATAGAGCGGGGCCTTTGGACGTTTGTGGCCAAAGTCGCGTTCAGTCCTCGATCGTTCCATGAGTAAAGGTTGGCAAAACGCTGGATACCGTGATACCAGAGGTGACAAACGCGTTCTCTGCCGGCGTAATAAATTGTGGCAGAAAATTTTTCCTCTCTAGCGGCTGTCAGAGAAGCTAACATTCGCGGCGCGGAACAAAGCAATACGTGCAGGTTTGAGTGAAGCCAGTGAAAGGGCTGTTTTCATCTTTGACTCTGAGTCGCTTTGGCTGTATATTCAGGCTGCGATGCTCGACGATCGGCGGGCTCTGTGGGTGCTTGTAAAACGACACGTACTTTGACGGTATTGTCGTGTCACCTACCACAGTAGACGTTTGCCAAGAGTGTAATTCACAAAAGCCCAGGCATTCGTATCTCTCTGTTGGTCCGTCACTTTTATTTACGTCTACTGCCCTCCCACTTTTTTTCCCACCGAGAAAACCATGATTAATCTTCTAAATCCGAAAGAACGGGGGAAATTTTGTATTCCGTGTTTAACGCTATCGCGAGACTCGGCGCTCGTAATGTCGGAATTATTCCATGAATTAAGCATTGCGTTAGCGCTGGAGTCCCGGGGACGAAGTTTATGTTATTTATTTCGAACCATGCAAATGAAATAAGTAAACTATTAAGGTAGGAAAATTCACAGAATGGACTAAAAAAGCTGGGAGGCAAAATTGGGTAGATTGGGATTTTTTGGTAATTAGGTGCTGTGTCAGGAATTGCAAACCGTCTAGGAAGGGGAAGAGCAGACCGTCAGCAGTTGAGCAGGGAATGCTTAATGTATGGTGCCTAGTGAAACATTTTTATATTCTCTTCTGTTTGATTAAGGAAAGAATAGCCAATGAAAAAATCTACCTAAAAAAAAGAATTCTATATATTTATGAAAGTAGAATTTTATTACACCTATACCTGATCTCCTATACCTGAATCATATTTTCCTCTACAACTACGAAAAGAAGAACCATCTGAAGTCGGAGGATTCAAACAAGATTCGTTCTAACCAGTTCAGTATCTCTGGGCACTTGGTCTGTGCTTTTGTCAGTAGTCTCAGGTATCGCTAACGAGACACTTGGCGCAAGTCAGCGCACCTGTGCACTGAGGGTTAAATAGCGCCGGATCCATAGCAAACTACGTTACGCGTGAAATTTCGTTGTGTGTCGGCGTAACAGGCATCTCCCAGCGTCCTGTTCGGCGTCGTCGTCTCAAGGGACGTGTAATTTCACGCGTCCGATACCCTGTATCTTCCCAACGTCAATATCGTTGCTAAATCCGGCCGCCAAGGGTAACCACGAATACCCTCTGGCAACTAGACACTGTCACATCGCTGGCGACCTGTCCATCTCGGGTCTCCTCGCGTTAAGAAACTTCGGTAAGGGCGCGAGTGGCGAACGTCAGAAGTTAAGTGACACGAGACAATGCCCTTTCGAGGGCCGTACTTAGAAACCGTGAAAGCCTTTGTTGGAAATACGTTTGGGAAATTAAGGGACAAGCCTAATATGGCGTCCCCGCTCGATATGCGCCCTAAGCTATCGTGGACCTCGTACCTTTGTCTACCACTTTCTCTTGGTTATGTGATTCTAGGGTACCTTCTTGGAAGGGAAGAAACGATTCTGGTAATGAGACGTACACAATTCTCAGATTAATTTATCAAATATATTCGATCCATATTTTATTTAATTTGTCAACATTAATCGCTCTGTTCAAACTAGTTTTACTTTATCGAAAGAGAGAAATTTTCCACTCATAATTTCGTGTAAATTTACATGTTTAGCGGTCAAATAAAAATTGACTCGCGCTGTTCTCGCAGTATCAGAAAGAAGAATGGTGGAAGTGCGTGCGCCAAGGTATCCTCTTAGCTAAATGAATTGCTTTTCTTCGTTCGAAAAGTCAAGTATCGCGGCGGGTCTCAGTAAATGGTTACGACAAATGGAATATGGCGAGAGGTCTACCGCTAATTAATTAGAAACCGTCTGAACAGTCGTGATGAATAGGTTGCGTAACGGGATCATTAAAGCCTCAGTAAATTCCGACCGAAGCTGCAGTGGTGTGTAATTAGCGCATTCATGGAGCCCATTCGGGGCGAATGATTTTCCGTTGACGATTCCAAATTATAATTTGATACTCCGCGTGGCTCCACAGAGAAAATTAGGATAATCTACAAGAAAGAAAGGAAATCTTAAAACTTTTTCAATCTTAAGATTTGATTTTTCATGAAATTATACAATTTTCGTCTTTTTGAATAGGCAAAGCTACTTGGAATATTTAAAAAATTGGATTCCTTTCGAAATTATCCTGAAATTTGAATTACATATTGAAACAATGTAAAACGAAACTACGTACAAGCTACCCATATAAATTTCAATTTTCATCTAAAAATCCAAGTTTTAAAAACTCGATGTTTCCCACGAAGTCTATTTAAATCACTGCCTTCATGTTCTAGGACGCAATATGTAAGAGGATGCCTGGATAGGCTCGAGATAACGAATCCCTCTTACGATACACGCATCAACAACCGCAGGATACGTTGTAAGGCTACCGTGTGTTCCGTTAACGAGCCAGCAAATTGTTTTTGCGTATATGACCCGCCTTCGCGAGCTTCTCGGCTCTATTATAATCCGTGCTAATTTCGACATTGTATTCGCTTTAACGCGGGATCGAAATTTCTCCCTAAGCACGTGAACTCTGGTAATCTGTGTACAGTTGGACTTACGAACACCTGTTCCGTTTCGCTGCCGGGACTAATTAGTTAATTAGCCATTCTACGAGTATCGCAAACTCGAGCTTCGATACGCGTATCCAATCTCGAATTTATTGGCGTTATCGAGCCAGGTGGAGCGAGATTTTTAACTAATTTTTATATCAACTTGTAAACAATTTTTTTTTCAGTGAAAATTCATTTCATATAAAAATTCCATTCCTTTTAAATCATAATTTATATAACAAAATGTATTCTGCAACGTTATATTGTTTTTTTCTGAAAAGCGTAACAAAAGGTTAATGCAATTTTTTGGTTTACTGTAATTGCTTTTATGTGCATTGTTAGCGCGAATATTTTTGTGTACACTCGTTCACATAAAATCTTATTCTTTAACCTTTCCCTGTTGATCAGTATGTGCTAGTATGTGTCTATATTATACGTAGATTTATTATACATTGGAATATCGATACGTGAACTGTGATTCATATGAATATTCGATAAAACGAAGCGTATATAAGCAGGCAAACACTGGCAATTTATTCCATCGATAAAGTCCAAATATCTTTCTACGTGACGATATAAACGTGATCATGCTACCCGCTCCCTTCGTAATATAGACGTCAGATTTTAATAGTTTTTAAATTATCAATTTCCCTTCGACGTTTTCGGGTTTATTCGTATTCATAGCCATAAAAGCTTTAAATCCTAGTTGAGACTGCGAACTACAGAATTTCTTTCTACTACCCTGCGGTGATTGACGTATCGTAAATCCAGTTGGATGACAGAGATAGATTAAAAGATTACTAGTTCTCCCCAAACAAAAAGTGCGTGCAGCGTTTTGATATTTCATACCTGCATTCGCCAAACTGGCATTCTGCATGGACCATGTGTAAAATTCCGATAAACATTTTGAAATATTTTTATAGTTGACCGTTAATGTTTCACAGCGAAAAGTTTGGATTTACTTCTACTGCTAACTCAGTTACAGAATTCGATATACCCGAACTTTACAATGGAGAATTAATTGAAAACTGGGGATTAATTAAATATTTGTGACGCTGCGAAGCTGGTATTGCTCGAGGAATCCACTTCGGGAAGCTTTCTGTAAAGTGCAACTTTGAAAGATTAAAACTCCAAGATGAAGTTTCCGTGACATTTTTTCCATCGGTACGATTTGTAAAGTAGGCACTCTGGAAAAGTTTGGCCGAAGTTGTTCATCGGTGAAGTGCTCGACGAAAGAAAAATTCGTCTCCGATTGCTTCGATTGGGATCACTTTGGATATTTTGAAACGTAAAGCATATCGTCGTATACAAAGAAAAATTTCTATTTTATAAAATAGATGTAAAAATATTTGAGTCCGTTTGAGAAAATAGTTCGTAAAAATGAAATAAAGAGAGATCAACGTTTTCTGAACTGAACTATTTTTTATCACAGCTATCGAGAACTCAATTATCGGTTCATCCGTTTTAGAAAACGGATAATTCGAAGATTAACGAAATACGGAAGCGCAGGAACGTGGAGATCGGTTGCCCTCGTTTCTACGCGCTTATTCTGAAAACGATTCACCGGTATATTTGCCATGCTCGAATAAATCACACTCTTTAGGCATTCCAAGATTTCCCGCCCCGCGGAACAAGGTATCATCTCGGCTTTGATCTTTATCCGTGCACTCTTTTCCTCTATTTTCCGCATGCGATGCATAAATACGATTCGCCCGTTTGTACAAAGGGGTTTACGTGTGGACGATTTTTCACAATAAATTTTACATTCATACGGAATTTACATATTTACATTTCATGGTTTTACTCCTTTGCCTCGGGGACACGTTTAAAATCGCGTGAGCATCACTTGAAAAGGAATGAATGTTGGGAACTGATGCGCAGCAGAAATTGTTAAATACCGTGTCATTTTTTCGTACACGTTTCTTTTCGTTTTTATTTCAACTCTGTTGGGGAATATCAACAGGTTAAGTGTTTATAATTCTGTTTTACGCGTACCTTGACTCTGCGATATTGTTACATTTCTTTGCATATAGGAATAAAGATGGTATTGTACTCTTTGAGTATATCTTTAGTCGTTGATAAATCGCTAATAACTTTGCCTTGATTTATGTTTTAGTTGCGTGGGAGGCGATTTTCTAAAAGTGTTTCTACATTTGGAGACCACCGGTGTTTCCGAGTACACCCCTTGGTCTGGGGTGCTTTGCGGAGAACTGCACGACATTCCACAGATCCTGTACAGTTCGAGGTCTACGCTTATTTTGGAGCTCCACACTCAGTCACCTCCGTCGAATTCGACTGGCTTTTTTGGGAATTTTCGCTTCATCGACAGACGTGAGTTACTCGTTAAAATGTGTTTTATTACCAGGAATACTTTCATCAAATAATTAGAGGTTGGCTCAACGGATTTCCTAACGAAACATATTATTAAATTCTAAAAGGGAAAAATGTCTTATAAATTGCAAGATGTTTCTTTCGAATATACATTGCACGAAATAATAAATGCAATATTGCAATAAAGTAAGACTTAATTGTTGCCCTCTATTTAACTGCGAAACGAATAATCGATAATCGGATTCCCCCTGTGGATATTTTGAAAATGAAATGAAAGCTGTCGTGCCGGTCGATCGTCGGTCCTGAAGTCTGAGCCAAGGACCGAACTGGATTAAGACTGACGGCTTGCTAACAAAAGCCACTTCATAGCTTCATCGCGAGCGAAAAGCTCCTCTAGGTCGGGAAGCTCTACTCGACTGGCATACTTATCGAGAGAACCGCAGGTTTCGTTTTATGAAACTCTTTCGAGTGGAGAGACTTACTCTTTGCCGTGCGCGCAGCTCAATTGGAAAATATTTTTAAAGTTACCAGGTAGTGGGGAGGGGGGGGTGGGGGAGGGGAGGAGGTGATCATTGAAAGGACTCGGCAGGGGTACGTGTTCCCTTGGAAATAACGCTAATTAAAGCGTGCCGGTGCGCATGCACTCGGTGATCTTGTACGAAACATATTTCGTGTTGCTTGATTCAATTTCAGGGAACTAGCGAATTGAACGCGAAACGTACTGAAACGACGACAAATTACGAACACCGGGAATGCATTTTGATTGCGCGGAATTATGCAAATCGAATTAAAAACGGGAATTGGCGGAATTTTATTCGAATAATCGATGACGAATATAACAGGTATGTTCGTGTTTGTTCGATTGAAGACTGTAACTTTTGTTGTTCTGTGCGAGGTGTTTCATTTTAACGGTCAGATCCTAATTTTCTAATGATTTGGTTTACAAATGAATTATATTGGGTTGCCTGGAAAGTACATGTCGATTTTCGCTAGGCGGAAAACAGAAAAAGAAAAGACACAACATACAAGAATCGTTCTAATAATAATAATCAGCGATACTTTTTCTGTGTACAGCCTGAAAGGCAGAGCGATTTCCACACCCAAGGGAAGCTTTTGCAAACTCAATTCTCGCATTGTAAAAAAAAACGTATAATCCCGGATACAGCGCAACGATAACCTCGATTTTCGGTGCCGTTACCCGGCGAGTTTAAAACATTTCTCGCGTATCTTTCAAATTTGGCTTTAATCGCCTTTAGCCGGGACAGCAGAATTAAAGTCACGGGGGAGAGAGCGCGATCCATTAAATCCCCCTTCGTAAAACTGCGGCAAATTATCCGCTGAAATTGTCCCACCGTTGCCATTTGTTTGGAAACGTGTGAATGGAAGCGTTGAACCGTATCGCTGTTCTCTTTAAGGTGTATTAGTTCCCTCGTTGGAAATCCTCCGGCGACGTAGTGTCTACACGCGTTACAACAAACGGTACCACGGTTCCTTGCTTGTAACAAGGGAAGGTCCCTGATCCGTAAATTTAAAGAGTTATGGCACTCCGAGAATACGTAAACTGCTGGAACAATGGCCCATTATTCTCCCATTCTTAAAATTTGTTCCAAGGAAGTGCGATCGATCTCCAATTACGGGGCAAAGTTGGGCTTTTACCTCATTGGAAATAATAGAAAATACAATATGAAAAGATGAAGGATCGTTCGCTTAATTAGGTCCTATTGAAATTTTCCTTTGTTCGAACGATTCCAAACGATCCACCTTTCACTTATGCATAACTTGTACCTCAGAGGCAAACTTAGGCTTACATTTTGTAAACTTCCTTTCGCTCTTCAATCTCTCTTAATTCGATAAATCATGTTGAAACTGCCATCATACATGGCCTCGAGCCAGTAAAAAATAATTTAACAAATCAACCTCGTTACTGTAATACTCTCGTTACTAAAGTTATTTTTGCATACGACGAAGAAATGTCAACACCTACTGTTCACAATTGCTTACACAGTACACACTTACAAAAAAAGTGTACAAAATTTCCTCTACAAATTTTGTCCCATCCCTTACATTTCGATCTTCGTTCTGCATTTTCTCGTCCGACAAAATACACGGGCGCGGGTCTTATTTATAGCGGCGTGCGCGCCACAGGTTTTTGCAAATTTCGGTCGTAGATTTGCAAGCGACACAACAGGGCTAAACAGTAAATACCGCGTGGGTTTTGGGCGAGGCCGTGGTTCGTTAGTAAACGTTTCACGAATTTGACTAGCCGACGCATGCTTTAAACATGTTGGACCGCGAATTTTTTATTTCGCTCACGTGTATGCGTCCGCCAGCTTACGTGTGCCGCGTAGAACGGTGACATAATTCTTCCCCGCCGGAGGAAACTTTTCCCAGCAATTCCGAAATGTACCATTTTCTCGTACGCTTTCCACCGTTCTTCCCCTTTTTCCCTCAGCGTAAGATAAGAAAAAAAAATAGAAAAAAAAAACAGAAAATACCCGACGTTCCTCAGGAAGCCGCACAATTTGCATAAGGAGACACATCCGCGGCGAGTTGACTGATACTGGCGCTCCTTGATTTATTGTGAACGTAAATTTTTCCGACGACGTCCGACTCTATTGTCCTCGGATGCGATAAACACTCTTGGTGGAAAGAGTTTATTTGGTATGCAGCGTTCGAGGCCACTTTGGAAAATATATTAGTTTATATTTCAGGGGTTTGCTTAGCTTAGAGGTAAAGCATAATCGATTTTTCATGGGAATTCGAGGCGTAGAGTTAGCTTGGGGCAGTGCAGTCTATGGATTGGGCCTCTCGGAGCAGTGGAAGGTGCTTAACACGTTGACTGCGGAGAACGCACGCCGTGCGTTCTGTAATTCTCGCCACAGCAGCGGCGGACGCACGGTGTGCGTTTCATTCTTTCTTCATTTTAGAACGCCCCCCACCCTTGAATTTTCGATATTTCGACTTGAAACTTGCTATATGGGCTCATCATTAGTCCGTCTGTTTACCTTCTCGGCCGCTTCAGTCTTGGAAAAGAAAAAGTGTGTTTTCCGCCGTCTTGCTTCTTAACCTCTATCGTTGCTACCCGCCGTTCCTTCCGCCGCGTGGTATCAACCACGAATTCGAACGTCGCAGTCAACGTGTTAAGCTACACTCTCCTATGGTTTTCCAAACGAAATCATTCCATGTGTCAGTGTTTCTACACAAGGTGCTTGAAACTAAAAAATGCTTAATTACTGCACAAAATCGAAACTTCCCTCAAGTACCTCTAGACCATTTATTCTCACCCTGCATATTTTCGCTCGATCAACCCTCCCTTCGTTCCCTAAGCGTCCACTCGAAACAGCTTCCAGCGCAAGGTTAATCCGAGTCGGGTAAAATCCGTCTGGAACTCGGCCGAGCATAATGGACGCTGATAACCGAAGAGATTAGTTAGACAGAGATTAGACGACAGATAGCAAAATCGGTGTTCGTCGGCTAGCTTACCGTGAACCGTTGTTATCGTGGCAGCGTCGCGTGTAACGTTTCGCGCCAAGGATCTCGTTAATCCCCGGCTAACTTGATCGATATTCAATTTCCGTTGGATCCCCACCGTCGAACTTTATCCGTCGATATCGCGATCGCTGATTTCACGCTCGACCCCGCGCGATATTTCATCGGCATGATTCGCGGTCGGACGCCAAACAAAGACCTTGACAAAACGGTAAGAAAAATGCGCTTGATCTGTCCTAATGCGTGGGAAACGTCACGAACCCATTTCGCTCGATCCATCATCCTCGGGAGCCGTCATTGACGAATGCGCGGTGCCTCGAGAAAAAGGAAAAGGCGAGAATCCGCGTGCGGTATCGATGAAATATGCGCGCCTTTTTCGACGAGCCATAAATGCTTCGATTCGCCGTCTCTCCTCTGGGATACGACTTGGAGGTGTCTGGCGGCTAGAAAATTCGACGCACCCTGTAGATTATGCGCGTCGATTAAATAGGGACAGCGGATTGACCGTGTGTGCAGGGGCAAAGCATACGTTGATTAACCATGTATAATTAAAATGTAATTTCTCCTATGTAGACGGGGAGTTTTAATCAAACAGGGGTCGAATTGAAGGGGATGGAGGTGGTTGCGGTAGGTTGCAGGAGAGGGATGATTATCGCGGTGACCGTAGACCGCGAATCCCCCACATTCCTTCATCGAATTGTACGCCTGGTGATCTATCACGCTCCCTGCCGTGTCTAGAATCCTTGAAAGCTGAACACAGCCAAAGAAGCGTGGATGTAGACCTAATCTTTGTCTGCAAACAGCGATCCACAGGTTTCTGTAAACACTGTCATTCGTCATAGGTCATGCTAACCTCTTAGTCTAGGAACTATCATGAATCTTTACCTAACCTATTCTATTTCTATATTCAACATTCATAACAGAATACGACGTGGGTAAATATAAGCGCAACAAATATTCACAACCCTTTCGTTTCGAAAGGGTGACGACGCTGTGTTCCAGATGATAACTATAGCCGCCCCTCTGCAAACAAACAGTGAACGTCATAACTTTTCAACAAAATTCCACGCGTACCCTATTAATCGCGACATTATGGACAACCCGAGTGTCTCGATAATTCCGCGAGTATTAAATTGTGGCTCTGTTTGCGTGGTTGCGCATTTCTAGCGTTCCACGCTGCATCAGCCATAACGAAACGGTTGACACACATCAGCTAAATGACAATAATTCGATCATATTTTCGTAGCAAAAGACGATTATTCTCATCGTCATTAATGATAGCTCTATTTCTGCCACCGCTACTGATAACTGATTGAATTTTCAAACGGTATTTCGCTGCGTTGTCCGATCTTCCAATGCGAATTTATAATAGCGGGGCCATCGATCCGCCGTACAGACAGTAATATTCAAACTTCGCTCAACCCGCACGGAATGTGCCTGTATCTGTGATTTGTAAACAAAGACTAGCTCCAACTCTGGATTAACCTCGGTCAATTCCTATCTCGCAATCA